CACACATGAAGTGTTTACGGCCCTAGGCTTGATCCTATGAAGGGTTTGCGGTCATGGCTTGAAGGGTTCACGGCCACCACATGAACTAAGAAGGGTTTACGGCCCTAACAAGATCACTTAAAGGGTTCACGACCACATGAAGGGTTCACGGCCGTGAACTCTTGAAGATGATGCTTAATTAATGCTTAAAAGGTGTTTGTTTCATGGGGATTCAAGAGCTCCTAATGGATAACAAGTATATGGAAAGGATACTTACTTAATGGAAGTCTTGAAGGTGTTTACGGCTCCAAGAACAAGTGTGTGTTCTTAGTGTTCTTGGTGAAAAGATGAGGACTTGAAGATCTTGAAGGAAAAGTGATGAATTCAAGGATGTGATTCATAGGATTCATATGATCAAGAAGATTAACTAGTAAAAGGGATGAATCACTTACGTTTATGAAGAGAAAGGATGGATTCCCTTGATGATACTTGAGAGAGTTTGAGTGTTCTTGAGTGAAAGATGTGAGAAATGAAGAATAATGAAGGAAATCTATACTAGTAGAAAGGGGTTTACGGCCAAGCTTGGGTTTACTCTGTAAACCTACTTTGGGCTGTAAACATCCCTTGATGGATGATCTTGGCTCAATTTGAAACTCATAGATTCGTTAGTCACACATCATAGCATCAAGTCCTAAGTGTACGAGGCTTAAAAACTCACAGAATAACCCTTAGCACGGCTAAAAGGTAACAGATACAAGTCTAACTTGGATTGATTTGCTTGGCTTATAAGATAGAAATTTCGGGTTGTCACAGTTGTGTTTCTCCAAAAGGGTAACAAACATGAACACATGACAAAAAAAAAGTGTCAACTGTTATATAAATTACATTAAGTAAAGCATTTATCAATTTTACACGTATGTTCTTGTTCCATGATATGGTACTAGGGGTACCCATGGTACAAATGCTACTTCAGTCCGACTTCATGCAACTTTTTTGCTTTGAAGGTGGTGGAAAGATGAAACGGAAAATCCACCCTGCCGATATTGCCCCTATGAACGGAGAAACCCAATACACAATAAAATGTTTTCGTGTATTGTAATGGTTGTTTACATATGCCCATCCAAACGCCTGTAGAAACAGAACAAAAGAAGAAAACTTATGGCTTCACACCTTAGTTTATAAGTGAACTTTTTTATTTTTTGAGTTTTCCTAGGTTATCGTGTTTGGTGGTCCAAAAAGGTAGCTTAAATGTTAGTTTTTTTAAAAGCTAAATAGACTAACCTTTTAACAAGTTTATTGAGATTTTCCAAAATATTTCCAACTATACTATTTATTAATTATAAAAATTTTCAATTTTCTACATTTCATTTTATATCAATTTATATATTTACCTAGCTTATCAGTTACCAAACGATATCTTTTCATCAGTTAGCTAGTTTTTCAGCTAACAGTTCAGCTGCTTCGTCAAATATGTTTAAATGTCAAAACTACCCTTATCTCATAGCAAAATAAAGAAACAATGTCCCAAATATTCTTTTTGTGATATTGATTGTTTGAAATAATAACCTTTAAAAAAAAGGGGTAAATAGCACAAAAGACACTACGTTTACACGAAAATTCTAATTTGACACTGTATTATTTTTTGTCTTAAATTTGACACTGTATTTTCTAATTTGTTATAATTTTGACAACTTGACCGATCAACCCGGTTACTTGCTGACGTGGCATGGTGACGTGTCAGTTTTGGTGACGTGAGATGCTGACATGACATGCTGACGTGTCAAAATTGAATTTTTTTTTCCACAAAAGACACTAAGTTTTCATTTTTTTTTTCGATTTTTGACATTAAGTTTATTTTTTTTTTCAATTTTGACACACTATTTTTTTTGTTTCAAATTGAAAATCATTTTTTCCAATTTTGTTCAATGCCGATCATTTTCTATTTGAAACCTTATAATTATTTAATCATAAATAAAAATACGTGTAAAATCTACAACAAAAAATAAATAAATAATATTTCATAAACGATAATTGATAAAATTTTGTTATTTTTATTTGAAGTTTATGGTTAGTTCGGCTCGCATTATATAACTAAAAATATTTATAAAACATATGCTTTGAATGTAAAAAAAACTTTGTATTTATATAAAAATATGGTTTTTAAATAAAAAAAATGTTTTTATATGGTTTAAAATGTAATAAAAAAATATTTATACGGTTTCAAATAGAAAATTGTCAGCCTTAAACAAAATTGCAAAAAATAATGTTCGATTTGAAACAAAAAAAAAATTGTCAAAATTGAAAAAAAAAATAAACTTAGTGTCAAAATCGAAAAAAATAAAAAACTTAGTGTCTTTTGTAGAAAAAAATATCAATTTTGATACGTCAGCATGCCACGCCATCATGCCACATCAGCAAGTAACCGGGTTGACCGATCAAGTGGTCAAAATTGTAACAAATTAGAAAACACAATGTTAAATTTGAGACAAAAAATAACACAGTGTCAAATTAGAATTTTCGTGTAAACGTGGTGTTTTTGGTGTCTTTTGTGTTATTTAAAAAAAGGAAATAATGAATTTGTGAAACTTACATTGGCAGGATTCAGTGAAGGACCTGTGTAGCTTCTACCAAAAGCAGCGAGTATCACGATAGAAGCAGAAAGCAACCAGTTTTTCAAAAGCCAGCTCTTAGGGCCACGAAGGATAATGTAGAGGACGAGAATGGAGCTCATGAATGTCAACATCCCTTCAACAATGGCGCCCGTATGAATATCAACTTTCAGATAAGGTCCTCCAAGCATGTGTTTGTACTCCAATGGCATGCATCTTACAATCGCCAACGCACCACCAACTCCACCAACAGCCTATCAACAATCGCCAAAACATTTCAAGATCATGCAGATTTGGAAGAAAATGTTTCAACAATGGTGAATGATCGATGCTGACTGAATACAAGTTCGGTTGATTACCTGAGCAGGAAAACGAACTGCGGCGGAGATAAGAGTATCACCACTGTGGCCGACGGCGTAAAAGGCAGCAGTACCAGTAGGATTAAAACTAGCGCCACCTAACGCAGTTCCAATTATACCGAAAATAAACAAGAGGATGAAGACGAGTGAGATTGTGATCAACAGTTTAGCTATTCCTTGAACGCCGATAGCTTTGGCAATAATGGAAGTTCCGGCGCTAAGGCAGGAAGCACAGAATACCCACATGAAAGTCAACACACCATCGCCGACAGCCACCTTGACTAACCCCATATCTCCTCCTCCTTTTAACTACAGAATCAGTTTCCCGATTCACCGGAAAAGTTGCAGAAAGGAGTGGAGTTGGGTTTGGAATCTCCACGAGAGAGATGCACTTATATAGTCATATTATTTACACACTTTGGAAGTGGACAACACGAGGGGTGTGAAATGATATTTATTGAAAATATTGGTGATGATGATAATGAGTGTGATCGAACAACCCAACCATGGGTTTGGAAGTTTGGTAGAGTTAAGTTGAGGTAAAAGTTATAGGAGTTGATCATGATGACAAAATGAGAATATTATGAGAGATAAATAATATGATTTTTTAGTTTGATGTGTATTTAGCTTCCTTATATGTATATTTTTGCTATGATTCAAATTACTGTTTTTGTTAAAATAGAAAAATTACGATAGAATATGCTAAAAGTAAGTTGTGATGCATTGTTGACATTGGAAACGACTTAATTGGATAGCACATTCGATTTGATGCATGTTTAGTAGTTGATACTTTATGTACAAGTTTTGATTGGATAAACTGTAGTTGTAGGTAGCCACATGCTATTAAAGGAAGGAGTATCCCCGATCTAATGGGTGTTGAAAGTGATTTTCAACTTTCTCGAGTAGGATCTCACCAATTGTTTAATAACCAAGGCCACTATACCTCATAAATTTTTAATTTTGTTTCACACTAAGAAAAACAAATTCAGCTAATTTTTTATAATTTGTTTTAAGATTTAACTAAAAGTTAACCAAAAGACCGAAATAGTAACCATTTTCCCATAGCCCGAGAAATGGGCCAAAAGGCTATGAAATGGGCCTATTTAAACCCAAAAAAAAAAAAAATCATGTTCATTTTCTCTCTTTTATTTTCAGTCTTGTTAAAATAGCCGAAGATAATTACAATAGGCCAATAGAAGTAAGTTTATTTATGATTTATTCTCATATAATACATAAATTAACAATTACTCAACAAATAATAGGAAAACATATTTTTTTCTCTTCATGGCTCCAAGGCTCGTCATGTATTTATATATATAATTAAAAGTTATATAAAAATTAAGTAATAGTAGAAAACATATGTATCTGTATATACAATTATAAATTATATAAAAACTGATACGTATACATGTTACCTAGTATGTGGTGTTCAAGCAAGAGAGTTTAGTGTGTTTTGTGATATCTACACATATGTCATCTTAACTACTTAACTTCGTGATGATTATAATGTTAGATGATGGGATGACTTAGGGTTTTGGGCTATTGTTTCCATCATGCATTGTTTTGGAGTTGTGATGTTTATAACAATGATTTTACATTATTTTTAATACTTTTCCCCCAACTTGATTTTAATGAAGGTTTAAATTAGTTAATTGAAAATATGACATTTGTATTGCAATGTGTTTATTCCTTTTTTTTGTTTAACTCCGATGTTTCTCATTAGGCTTGTCATGTCTAACCTTATTTTTACATGTGCTCATGTTAGTAGCAGTTTCTTAGTTACTATGGAGATTGAGAAACATGTGTATATTTGGAAAACATTTCACCTTTCAGATTTTTCTTTTCGAAAAAATTAGTTAGATTTTCTAATAGACGTTCGAGTTATATGGTTTTTTTCGACCCCATGATTCAACAACTTGAAATTTCCGTATATGTTAAATCAACACCAAATAATTTGTGTCAACAATTTCTTTTTCAAAATAATAAATGTGTAAATCACAGCAGTTTGGACAAGTATTATTCATACTCCATAGATCAAGAAACTCATCAATTAAAGTGTTTATTCGATCGGATGTTATCATAAAACGATCTACACATGGGTAAGATCAAACACAAATATACAAAAGACAAGAGAAGACATTAATACTGTTTTTAACATTCAATCCATACAAAGAAGCCATTATTTATTACTTTTTACCACCACTACTAACTCCAAATCCAATGATATCCATCTTTAATCTTTTTTATCTTTATTCAGTTGCTTTCCCTTTACGCCTGCTGCTAGTTTCAAGAAGATAACAAACCATGGAATCCACGTCATCACCAAATATACTATACGCCTCCATCGCCTGCACATAACTGAACCCCATTGACAGCACCATCTGCATTCCATTACACAGCACTGTTCCTTCACCTTTGCTCTCACTCCCTGATGGCCCACCTGCTTTTTTTCAAATAAGAATAAATGACCATTTTACCCTTATGTCCCAACTTCTGGTTTACAATATGAAAGGAGTTGATAATAATGTCTGAATAAACTGTCTAAATGAGACCATTTTACCCTTACACTCGAAAAAACAAATTCCATAATATTAACGTGAGAGGAAGAAGGTCAAATAAGAAAAGGATTAGTGTCTTAATAGTATCACAAGAAATGTCTGGATAAACAGTCTGAATGAGACTGAATGACCATTTTATCCTCACACTAGAAAAAACTAATTCCATCAATATTAACGTGAGACGAAAAAGAATGTCAAATAGGAAACGATTAGTGACTTAATAATGTCTGAATAAACAGTCTAGTTGAGAGACTAAATGACCATTTTACCCTTACACACCAAAAAATCATATTACATCAATATTAACATGAGAGGAAAAAGAAGGTCAAATAGGAAAATGATTAGTATGTTAAGACATCAAGTGTTTTTGGCTTAACTTATTAAATCATTTTTCTCCAGATTCACATCAAGTACTAAACCCATTAAGCTGATTAAGTAAAAAAGAAGAAACATGGCATTAATTACTTACTAATATTACCTCCAGAAGAGGATGGTTGAGCATCAGAAGTTGAAGATTCTGTTGGACCAAGTTGCTGTTTGAACTTATCATTTGCCATGTATTCAGCCCTGGATGCAGCCATCACCATATGCTCAATCTCTTTCTCAGTCAACTCCATATCTGAGCAGAAACGTGCCTCTGCCATAAGAGCCTGTTCATGTTTCATTAAAGTTACATCATTATCAGCTCAGAAAGAACAAAAAAAAGTGTCAAAACATGATATGATAAAAGACTGGTTTATTACATTATCAATCTGTTGATCTTGTTGAGCTTTGATTGCTGCTTTCACTTGATCTTTATCAACATTCGTCTGAAACAACAACAAAACCCAAAACATATATTCAACAACAACAAAACCCAAAAGCATATAGATATAGGTGAAATGACTTATTTACCCCTTGCAGGCAGCTAAACCCAAGGCCAGCACCTATTGTGAGCCTACGTGGATCAACAAGAGAGTTGTAATGGTTGCCATGATGGTAACTTAGCCGGATTGGAGGTGTATCTGTGTTATAGCTTCCATGGAATATATTTATAGGCTCTGTATTTATAAAAAAAAAAAAATTAAGCCAATTGCACAAAAGTAGAGAGTAAAGACCCTATTATAATATAATAATATATATAGTTATATACCAGTGCTATATGAGTAGATATGAATAGGCCGATTGTACATTTCAGATAATGCTTGAATCTCCACATTGTTCCCATAGACCTGGATTCACAAATTATATGAAAAGATAATTAAAGAAAAGAAGAAAAGTTGTATAAAAATAGATTCTTGAAATTTACATACTTTATCTCTTCTCTTTCTCTTGCAATAAGAAGTGAAACCCTCTGTTATAAACTGTGAGAAGTGGTCTCTCTCGCGTTCCTGAATCAAGATTCAAGAAAAAAATTGTTAATTTGTTACTTCATCTTTTTAACATAAATGACACATTTTTTTCAAGTGGGGTTTGGATTGAGTGAGATAAAAAGAGTAACATACCATGTAATCTATGCACATTTGCCTAGCCAAATCGTATGCTTCAGAATCGCCATAAACTTGATCTGCAACAGCACGAAACAGACAATTCCCATCTTCTGACATTCTTTTCACTTCATAACCTTTTGTGCGTCTAATATCAATCTCAAACTGTCGCTCCCTTTCCTGACAGAGAGCTAATGTGTCATAATGTGATCAAAATTGAAGTGTAGATGTGTTGGTTTTTGTTTATGAATGTAGAAATTGAAAACCATAGGGTGGAAAGTTTGTGATTTAATGGTTTACTGAAGGTGTATACCGTATTAGTCTGATTATTATTCAGTTCTTTGAAGTGAGTAAAACGACTAGAACTCACAGCATCATCATATGAGGATCCGAAGCATGGGTTTTGTTCATCAGCGCTGTTGTAGCCATCGTTTTCAGGATGAGACCTCGGAGATCCTGTGGAAACAACTGGCCAAGCGGTGGCTCTTCTAGATGAACCAATTCGTAAAGCGGCAGAATTACCAGGCGTAAATCTCCGGGAGTTAGAACCTGTTGAAGATGGTTTTGGGGGTGGAGTAGGCGGAGCAGGTGGTGGAGGTGGATGTGGATGTGGACTTCCGCCGGTTGTTTGCGAAGGATAATCATCGGACTTTTTTACATCTTTCTCTTCTTCCTCTTCGTTTACTCGCAAGCCACCGATTCTTTTCGAAAGATCTTCTGAAACAGTTTCGTCTTCGCTTTTATCAGTAGTGGGTACATCAAGACCATCGTTTCGATCGATTTCAACAGTTTCTACAGGAAGATCTTCAGAAAGAATTTGTTCTTGGACGTCGTCCCCTGTAACCTGAGCCTGAGGTAGACTCGATGAAGACGAAGAACTCGACCTGTTTGTATTATTAGATGATGAAGAAGGCCCAGCGGCAGAAGAACCTCTCTGAACAAAAACACGAGTCATCCTTTCCCTTTTTTCGAGATGATTTCGATCCCCTAAAAACAAACGAATACAAAGTTCTTATTCTTGATGATTATTATAAAACCCTAGCTTTCGATTTGTCACGTGTCCTGGCCTTAGGCGACGTGACTCCAATTCCGCCGTTGAATGATTTTCTTTTATTGCTCCAACCAATATCGTCTTCGTCCACGAGCTGAAACGATCTCTGCATTCCCCTAACAATTCTCATGAGATTGAAGAACAACCAAACCCTAGCCCTTTCGAAAGTAACGCGAATTTTTACCTCCGATCAGTTCACCTCGGCGAACCCTAACAACAACCTGCAATCGCAATCAAATAAGCCCAATAAAACAACCCAAAACGTAACATAACAAATTCGAAATTAAAGATTCAAGAAACCCCTTAGATTCGAACAAAAAGGAAACCAATTGACCTAACAAAAGAGTTGATTCGAAATCGGAGCGTGGGGATGAAGTGGGTGTAGTGATCTGAAGAGTGTGTGTGATAGAGATTGAAGGGATTATTGGGAAACTTGGTAGGGTTTTTGTGGAGCAGAAATCGATAAGGGATAGCTTGGCGACGAAGGAGAATATACATGGGTCTCTCTAAATACGCACGTACATGTTGAGATGAAAATGGGAGGCTGCGATTTAGCGGCGAAGGTTAAACAGGTGGCGAAATTTTGTGAAGCACGTGGGTGTCAGGCTTTGACGGAGGTGAGTTGGGAGACTCGGACACAAGCCCAGGAAGAGGATCTTGTTCTAAGATCTCTTTGTACAAATACATGACAAATACAAGGACATAACACCACCAAACCTTGTGTTTAGAATACTTATACAAATATCATTTTATTTAGTTTTTTTTATATGAATTTAGGTATTTTGGTAAGTGAATTGGAAAAGAAATGAAAAGCATTATTCCATTCTTGTAAAAAAAATTGTTGTTTGTTTGATGAAATGGAAAAGAATGAAGCATTAACAAACAAAGGAATACCGTTACTTCAAAATGTGTGTTTGTGATTCTACATAACATTATTACTTTAAAATGTTGTTTGTCTGATGAGAAAGAATGTCGTTACTTCAAAATGACTGTTTGTGATTCTACAGAACATCGGGGTTTTTTATTTTTTTGTTTTTGATGCATCAAATTCACAACCAAAATCAATTGAATCCATCCATTTAAAACAGACGTGATAATGAAGTTCGACTTGTGAATGATTTCGCAACTGAAGATAAACGAAGAATCGATGAAATGCTTCGTCAACAATCATTAGCAATTGAAAGTATCGTTTTTACTTATTTCGTTCCCTCTCGAATTCCAGAGGTTCATTTATGTTCATTTACATAAGCTTCGTTTGTCAGAAGAACTTATACTTTTACGTGCATGTTAAGTGTTTGATAAAATGTTTAAATGGAATATCTTTTTGAAATTAAAGTCACATTGATTATATTGTTGTGATTTGGTAGAGGATCCTCAATTTTACATTTGTTTATGCAACTCAAGAGATTGAAAGGTATTTTTTATCCTTTCCTAACATTTATATCTATCTCTTATAAATGAGGTCATTCAAATCAATATGGTTCAAGATAAATCATCTATCTTGAACGATAGTCATTTGAATCTCCCACCTTTTCAACTTATGTTAACTAACTATATGATTAATTGAAGTATTTTGCCTATATAAGAAGATTATTTCATGCTCGGTTACTCACATTTAAAGAAAATGTTTGAATGACCTAAAACCCTAAAGTTTGGCCTAAAGTCAAACTTAGCCAAAAAGTCAACAAAGTCAATGTAACGTCCCAAAAATTATAAGAGAATATTTTCTTTAAGTCAATCAAAATAGTCATTTGAACATTCAAATACCCAATCAAAGTGTAAGGAAAAATGTATCAAAAGTTATCAGAGTACAAAACAAAATCATATAAATGCAGAATACCGGTGGATGCGGTACAATCATGTTGAGCTCTTCCATTAGAACTGAAAGTATCTGAAACCGTAAACATAAAAATGTAAGCATAAAGTTTAGTGAGTTCCCTAAAATATCACATACCATATACATATAAATGGGTCTTGCCCAAATTACATACGGGCCCCGCCCACAACATAATGGGCCCTGCCCAAATGATATATATATATATATATATATATATATATACACACACACATACCCCCCTTATAAAGCATATTTGGTCAAATGTTGAATTTTAAGTCGTATAAATCTTATTAAGCTATTTACATTCATTTTATGCATTAAAAAATAATGAATCTTATCCGGTCAAACAATTGAAAAAGTCATGTGACATTTTGAATTGGTATTCCTCACTTTAAGCCAAATGAATTGTTCAACACCTAACTACATTTTATATAATATCTCCTATCTCACTGTTCGGTTAGAAACTAATCACTACCATCAATCAGATCATTCAACTTTTTAGTGTTTACTGATATACACGCCTCTACGAAGGTATCAAGTGAAACTCTAATTTGGTGCTTGGAAAAGAACAACTCGGATCGATTGAAGCCTGGTAAGGAAGGAAAGCCAAGATGTTAATTTTGTTAATGATTTTTCTTTTGATTTTCATTTTCCATCGATTTTTCTTTTTATTGTGATTCATAATCTCTATAGAGACCACCATTTACAACCAATCTATTTTTCTTTGGACTGTAATTTACCTCGGACCACCTCACCCAAATCCGCTAACATCATTGACTTTGTTGCTGAACAACACCACCGTTTAGCGTCGTCATAGTCACCATCGTCACTCACAAACACCACCTAACCTTAACCAGATTCTCTACCTTCTTTCATCTCTTTCCTTTTCTTTGTACTATGTCGATACCAGAAACCATAAAGAGCATATTTTTTTCAACCCTAACAAACACATGAAACGAAGATGTGTTGTTCACCTCTCTAACAAATCCCTGTTCTCTGAACTATGTTTTTGGTTTGTTTCCTCTAGAAACACAACCCGCCTACATTCCTTTATCTCATGGTCAATAGACCCAAGGTAAGATCAACGACCCTATTCCATCGTTAATTATTTCTTTGAAATGAAAACTCATTTCTTATGTTGCAGATCCATACAAAATAACTCAATTTTATATCTAACTATAAAGACCAAGAGTGACCCGTATGTATCTGTTAGTTTGAATTAACTTCCTACACTCCTTCTTCCTCTTATTGCCTTTTAATTTGTTGAACATAGCCTGATTTTGTCTTTTTAATCCCATTTTATTGAGCAAAGTTATGATTGTTTTGTAATGGGAGAAGGTATTGATCAAGAAAGTTAACAAAGCTCAGATTTTAGGCACTGCTACTGAAGAAAGGTAATCTTTCGCTTATTTCTACTCATATCTTACATGGATTAACCTTTTGTTTTGGTTGTTATTAAAAACTACACTTTAATTTAATGTATACTTCATCATCAGGTCAAGCATGTCCACATTTTAAGGTTAATGTGGTTGATGGAAGACAAAAGAGAATGATGCTCTTAGCCTCTTACTATTCTCCAGGTACTTATTTCTATCACTATTTTGAAAATAATTTATTTATTTATTTATTTTATTTATGTATCATATTATCAAGAAAATACAATTAGGTGTATAAATGACATTATAATCCTCTTGCATGCAAGAAGTAGCAGTTTGTGGTTGATTGAAGCAAAAACTCAACCGATTACAGGTAATAATGAGCCAAAAAAAACATGGTAATCAAGAGTCATTTATATATATATTTTTCCTGAGTTTAACCAATCGTTGCGGGTTTGGTCCAAAAAGATTTGAATTGCAATTTTGATCCTTATTTGAGGGTTTTGTATCGTTTTTGGCCCCTCTTTCATTTGTTTGGCTATGTAAAATTAAATTTTTAATAAAAAAAATGCTTTGATAACTGTTGGTGGTAGATTTTTTGCCGCAAATTTTCAAAATTTTGGTCATAGGAACCGCAAGAAAGGCGATGGTCAATTTATGCTTACTTCCACTCCTTACATAGTTTTCATTATGATGGAATCGACAATGGAATGGAATGGTGTATTCAATTGGAATGGGAAAAAAAGTTGATTGTGTTGTTTGATAATCACTCATGTCATTACCTTGTTTATTCTGTTTCATTCTATCCAACCAAAAAATACTTATATTTTTGAATTTTCACCTTCCATATTTGAATAAATTTGTAAACATTATTTCAGGTGACCTATTGGATTTTACATATAAAGGAAATAAGTATGTTATAGGATGGTGCAGAAGTCCAAAATCTGCTAACTCAATGTCTAAAATGATTACAATGGCAAGTTCATTATAAATAAGCTTTTTTTCTTTTAATTTCCACTTTGTTTATGGTCTTCAAGCTCCCACTTCCCAAGACAACTATTGCTTGCAAAAAGAACTTAAAGGTTCCATGTGTCGTGATGACACTTAAACCATTAAGACCATAATTAAGCCTAATACCAAGAGTAAAAACTCAAGGTTGGGATTATAGTATCAAGTGGTCAAGACATAGCAAATCTTCAATGTGGTCATTTATTCAATTTGTTACATTTGAAAAAAAGAATACAACTAGTCTAACTAATTTATTACATTCAAAATAAACAAATGAAAAATACATATTTATCTATTACATATTATGAATAAATAAATAATCAACCAACAACATCATATGAAATATACAAACAAACACTTTGTCTTTCTAAGGCAACTTTATAGAACAAAATGCATGAAAAAATTGGTTGCATAAAAACAACAATTATAAAAAAACAATAAGTTGCCATAGAAAATATATTTGGTGATTTCTTTTCCAAAAGAAATACCAAACATATTTTTTAAAACCAAAGGTTATAAAACATTTAAATACATCTTTCTAAACATGTATAAGAGGCTTTGATACACTGATGGGTTCTGAGTAGCTAAAAACGATCATTTTTATAAACCACTTTTAAACGGCAACAGAAGACTTTAAAATAAATAGTTTATTTTTAAGATCATTTTAACAAAACCACCAATAGGATCCAAATATATGAACTAGAAAGATTATGATAACCATAGATGTTAAGTATATAACATTTGAAGACTTTGATCTCACTTGGTTTTTAGGAGTTGATGAAGATGGCAAAAACTCAAGAATAGAGTTTCTCAAACAAGAGTAAGCCACCAAGAATGCTAGTTCTTCATCTTGTATGAAGTACTTCTTAATACTTTAAGTGCTTATAAGAAATAAGTACTAAAGGAGAAGCATTTCCAAGCACCAAATCTTCCACTTGTCTACTTTAGAGAGAAAGAGAGAGGATGAGAGGAGAATTCGGCCATCATAAGGGAAGAGCAAAAACTATCATCAAAAGAGAAGTCTTACTTTCTCTTATATACCCATATGTGATATCTAAGACCCATGCTTTCATTAAATATAAAGGGATGGGTCTTACAAGCATGGTGTGTGTGTAACAAACTAGTCAAACAAGCAACACATACACCATACTCTTCTAGAGGTCATAGGTAGGAAGGAGAGAGGGGATGGAGTGGTTTTCTGTCACACCCCCAAACCGGAACGGCGGAAACGTTCGGGGGTGGAGGACGTCATGTACAGTATCACAACAATTTTATAATAGCAATCAAAGCAAACACAACCATTACATTGATAGAATATAGGATTTACATATGTTCGATACATTGTTTGTATGGCATTAAAATGTATAACAAAAGTATAAAAGACGCGACTCTAAAAGCTCCGTCTTCTCAAAACCTGTGGGTGTACCTGTCTACCGGTTCCCTGAGAATACAAGTGGTTTTGAAAGTG